AGCCTCCTCAGCCTGCTGAGCTGAGCAAAGCCAGGCGGAAGCAGCCGGATGCTGGTGTGGCTGACGTTCAGCTCATGCAGGCAGGAGAGCTGTGTGAGGGACGCAGGGAGATGCACGAGGGATGACCAGTGGGATAGGTCCAGCTCACGCAGCCTTGAGAATGCCCCAAAGAAGTGCAGAAGAGATGACAAGTGTTCTGCGTTGATCTTAATGGATGTGAGGTGGTGGAGAGTGGTGATGGCAGCAGGCAGCTCTGTGAGTCCAACACCCCTCATGCTGGAGATGGTCAGCTCCCGTAGCTCCTGCAAACCCGAGCCCTCACACTCCACCAGCGTGTTCACACTGCGCGCCCCTTGGAGTGTCAAGGTGCGGAGGCGAGGAAGCCTGGTCAGCGCGGACAGAGACTCCTCCGCACCCGCTGTGAGCTCCAGCTCCAGATGCTGCACATTCGAGAGATGCTCGACGATGGCCTCAATACAGGCTGCGTCCACCGTGTACAAGCACAGCTCCCTGAGCCCTGTAAGGCTTGAAACATCTGGCATGGACCCCATCTCCTGATTGTCTGAGAACCGGAGAGCCTGCAGACTGAGTGGCAGAGCCTGAGGGACTTCGTTCAGCCGCCAACACCCCCTCACCTCCAACTGCGTCAGGCTGGTTAGCCCATCCAACCTCCTGGGAACCGATACGAGATTTTCACACTCTGTGATCCTCAGCACTCGAAGGCTGCCAAGCGACGTCACAGCTTCCGTAAGCTTCTTAAGATAAGAGCAGGAATGAATGTAAAGCTCCTGCAGGTTTGTCATCTCCCCCATACCCTCTGGAAGCTCACGAGAATAGCAGTGATGAATGTAGAGCTCCTGCAGGTTTGTCATCTCCCCCATGCCGTCTGGAAGCTCACTTTTGCACCCTTTTAGCTCCAGCCTGGTCAGCGAAGCCAGCTGCGCTAATGGCGACAGCAGCTGCCCTAGGCTGTTCTTCTCAAAATGGAAGGTGTGGAGGTTGGTCAGGCCGCCCAAGTCTTCTGGAAGCTGCAAGATGGACGACCCTGCAAGGCTCAGAGACCGGAGGGCTGTGAGGCGACCAAACCCTGCAGGAAGCTCCTCCATGTCTTCGCACCAATCCAGAAAAAACGTCTCAAGAGATGCGAGTCTGGTGAAGGAGGCCGGGAGAGTGCGGAGCAGCAGCCGGCTCAGCACCAAGGTTTTCAAGGCGGGAAGATGGCCAAAGTCTTCCGGCAGATCGTACACTCTGCAGTGGCATACAGTCAGGCTCTCCAGGCAGGTGAGCGACGTGATCTCGCCAGTCAGATCGCTCAAGGCTCCGCACTCGTTGATGCTGAGCCCTTGGAGGCGCGGAAGCACTTGTCCGATATTGTCTGGAAGCCGCTCCTGGTTGAAGCAATAGCTAAGCTGCAGGCGTTTCAGGAACCTGTACGGCGATCCAGGACGGAAAAAAACGCTAAAGTGCGCATCACACGGTCCGAACTTGAGCGAGTGGAGAGGAAGCTGTGCGAGCGAGAAGGCGGGCGGATCTGCTGAAATCACGTTGATCTCGTCAGGCAAGGAGAGGCGCGTGAGGTTGGTGAGTTGAAGAAGGGTGGAGAGCTGGTTGTAATGAATGTCGGGGGTTTCCATGGAGACTGCTGTGAGAGACGAAAGAGAGCTGAGATCTGGAGACTTAAAGATAAAGGCGGTGGACAAGACGAGGGTGCGCAGATGCTGAAGCTGGAAGAACGAAGCTGGTGGGTTCAGATCTTCCTTGAGACAGCACAGCGACAGCTGCTCCAGTTGAGAGCAGTGACGGAAGAAAATGTCCAATCCCGATTCTGTTATCACGCGGCCATTCCTTCCATGCTGTCCCTCGTACTCCCACCCCACGTGCAGCGCTCTCAACCCAGGGCACGAAAGGGCGAGATCAGCTAGAAACGCGTCATCCGACGTCTCAACGCTGAAATCCGAGAGATGCAGATGGGTCAGCCGGGGAAAGCAGGCGACCGCGTTGAGCACATCGCGGTGAGACACGACGCGGTTATCCTTCACGAGCAGCGTCGAGACGTGCCTCTGAGCCAGTCGCCGCCAGCGATGAAGAGGCGATGAAGAGGTTGTGAGCGGCGTCTGCGGAGGCGGGAGGCGTCGGCATGGGAGAATCACTTCGCTTGCTCCATGATGGCTCTTCGCTTGTTCCAAGGTACGTGGGCGTGGGCACCACAGGGTTCCAGGGATCCTCGCTCTCGGATATGTACGGGCTTGACGGGATTGACGGTGTGGAAGGCCATAAGATCCGAATGAGGACGTCGTCTAGGAGATCGTGGATGTGGGTTCCACTCGAGTCCATGCTATCAGCCGTCACGTGCACCAACTGGTAGCTCTATTAAAGCTAACAAAACCTTGCCAGAGTGGAATGGCTGAGACCACGGCTTCCAGGAGTAAAGAATAGCTCGATCGGGAAGGATGGTTGAGCTCTTTCTGACCTAAGACGACCTCAGCTAGATGCGACCGTTGCTGCCGTTGAGGATCTGCCCGATCACCAATCGCAAGAGATCGCTGAGACCGTTGCGGCAGAATGTGTACACCGCAAGCAGGAAGATGCTCACTTGGCTACCTTGTGCTTTCAGCAGCTGCTATACCGAATTTACATCGCAGCAGTTCCGCACGCTGCTCGTGATCCAGACGCTCACAAGGCTCTTGGTTGATCGAGAGATCTGGAGAGTATTGAGCAGTTTTCCCCTGGATTTCTCCTCAGCAATCGTTCCCTCCAGAATCGGCGAGATCGCGCGCATCGGCGGAAATCGCGTTTCTCTCAAAAGAATCGACCCAAATTGCTCCGACTTCGCCAAGTGGGTGTTTTTCTTAATTGAATGGACCGCCTTTCCACCCGCCCCCCCAAACTGTTTTTCCCGCCCTTTCCCTCGGAAATTCGGGCACCCGCTGGATTTTAGTGGAATCACAAACAGTGACGAATACATGCTCCACGCATCATGCCAAATCCTCCGTGTAGTTGTGGCATGCCACATCAGCTTTCGCAATAGACTCTTGATAATTTCGGAGGTTGCTTCTCAATCTCTAGAGGCTCTTATGCACGTTGATTGTATCATGTTTTTTTTTGGATTAGCCCATGCCATTAATGTAGGGCACAAGAAAACACATGACAAATAACCTAAAGTTTTCTATGTTTTCTATCTTTATAGCCTATTTTATGTTTTCAAACCATAAAAACTCTAGAGTTAGATTTAATTAATTTACAATTAATGATTTAGGTAGAAATTTTGCTTTTACTATTTGATATGATTTAGAAAATAATTACTACCCTCCCGTTACAAGTATTCTAAAAATAAATGTTATTTCAGCGGCATATTAAAATCCATATTACTGCTAAAGGTCTCATTGAAATTCATATTTTATTTAGTTGTTATGCTCAAGCTATTACTAATTTCAGAATATTCCAGATTTTGGCGCGCGAAGAAAATCACCAGTATTCTGTCCAATCAGATATCGCTCGCATGTTGAAATCTTTGAGTTACGAAAAAGCAGGTATTCGTCACTGTTTGTGATTCAACAAAAATCCAGCGGGTGCCCGAATTTCGGAGGGGAAGGGCGGGAAAAACGGGTTGGGGGGTTGGGGGGAAAGGCGGTCCAATCAATTAAGAAAAAGCCCACGTGGCAAAGTCGGAGCAATTTGGGTTAATTCTTAAAGCTGAAGTATACATTTGTCATCCAGGTTTTGGGTTTAGAAAGTCACCTCACGGTCTCACAGGCAAACTTTCAAATTTCAAAAGTTTTTGAACCCCTTCTGTCAAATGTATACGAAAGCTTTAAAACGCCGATGCGCGCGATTTCGCCTCCAGAATCTCATGAGAGCCGCTTTTCCTGCTTCCCAGATGACGCTCCCGTGCGGGCTGCCTACCCAGATGGGTGAGCCTTCGAAGCACAGAAGCTGGAGTTTTAGGGCGTCGTGCAAAACGAGGTTCAGTCTGTCGTGGGGTGGTTTTGCAGATTCATAGGAGGCCTTGGTGACTTGTACGTGGTGAACCGAGGTCCAAGATCTGAAATTTCGGGAGAGTCTCTGGTTGGGCAATATCTCCGCGCGCATCCCCCTGAGCAGCGCGACAGAGTACATTTCTTCACTGGACGATCCTGCGGCTTGTTTGGGCAATTTCATTCGCTTGACCCCGAGTTACACAACTTTGCTTCGTGCTTAGTATTTTCACATTTGCAGAGTTACCCGCTTCGAGGTCCAGCGCTTGGACCCCACTTGCACATGAAGCAACACGCCCACAGCCCAGATACGGTTCTCCCAAACCAAGACCCAGGTTCGGAATCCACTGAAACACTGATATTCAACAAACAGTGTCTGGGGTGTACGATATCAATCATTTTAGTTTGTTCTATTCTGGTTTACATAGGGGTTCTTACTTTATATTTTCATTCATTTGATTGATCCCAATTGCATTCATAATTTATTTCTCCAATCCTACACGTTCTCATATTTCTCTGCTATTTTCATACTGGAATGGTAACCGCATTCGATCGAAGCCAAGAATATGTTTTACATCATAGTCGCTGGGTCTGTCACAGATACATTTCCATTTCCACTTTTCTCTGAGCCTCAAGCATGGCTGTCATCACATATTTTTTTACGTTTGGGGTTTTGGTTTAGGGTAACATGTGCATAATAGGAAGCACTGTAACACATTTGCAAGTACAAGCTTAAAGATGAGACATAACAAGTGATAGATAGATAAGTTCAAAATTAGTAACAAGCTACTCCACCAACCTCATACGTAGAGGCATCCCATATTTAGGGGTAAGCGTGATTCCCACACTGGGCAGGTGTACATATGTGGGCGAGAGCTCCCATTGGAGGCGCCTGAGCAAATGCGCAAGCACAACCTTGGCCTCTGTGAGAGCAAAGTTGGAGCCAATGCAGTCCCGGGGGCCTGCTGAGAATGGCACAAAGGCCTGTGGGTGCGAACATGCTCCCTGTATGCCGTCTGTGGGGACTCATGGTGAGGGGAGGATGGGCAGGGGGGGGATGAAGGGCAAGGGAGGATTAAGGGCAATGAGGGAATGAACGGCAGTGGGGTGAGCTGAATCAAGGAAAGACCCAGGACGGAGAACCAAGTGAGTACCCATGTGGAGAGAGGACCGTGTGATGCGCCAGCTGCGCCGAGATGAAACGAAGTTCATTTTTCACAAACACTTGAACCTAAGATGCATGCACTCTGACTGAGCTCCAAGTGCTCACGTGAATCTTAACTGTGATGAGTGAACCCCTTCCCCCTCTCTTCTCCCTCCCTCCCTCCCGTCCACCCCCCTAGCAGCAGATGGATGGCGTGACTGCAGCGCAACGCCATGAGGCGCGGCTGGGGGCGTACCCTTGAAGCGAGCGGGGTTGAAGTGGAGCGCGTCCTCCCCCCAGTAGCGCGGGTCGCTGTGCGGCATGGCGAGCGACATCATGATGCGCGTGCCGGCAGGGATGCTGTACGGGCCCAGGGAGACGTCCTGGTGGGCACGGGAAATGGGGAAATGCGGCAATGGCGAAGGCATGGGGGAAGGCATGGGGTAAAGGAAGGCATGGGGAAAAGGATGGGAAGGCGTGGGGAAAAGGATGGGAAGGCTTGGCGGAATGGTAGGGAAAACGATGGATGGGAAGGCATGGCGGAAAGGAAGGCATGGGAAGGCATGGGGAAAAGGACGGGAAGGCATGGGGGAAAAGGAAGGGATAGGGAAAAGGATGGGAAGGCGTGGGGAAAAGGATGGGAAGGCTTGGGGAAAAGGATGGGAAGGCGTGGAGAAAAGGATGGGAAGGCATGGCCGAAAGGAAGGCATAGGGAAAACGATGGATGGGAAGGCATGGCGGAAAGGAAGGCATGGGAAGGCATGGGGGAAAGGAAGGCATGGGAAGGCATGGGGAAAGGAAGGCATGGGGAAAGGAAGGCATGGGGAAAGGAATGCATGGGGAAAAGGATGGGAAGGGTGGGTGTAGGGCATGGCGAGGTGCATGATGATGGTCGTGCTGGCATGGATGACGCACACAAGTCACATAAGGGCTGGGCCTGTATGAAGGGGGAAGGAACACACAGGACACAAAGGGCAGCAACGAGTGTGCCTGTATGTTTTATGCGTGTGCCTCACCTTGCTGGCCTCACCTTGCTGGCCTCCCTGGTGATGGTAGGCGTGGGTGGGAAGAGCCTGAGCGTCTCCAGCAGCACCATGTGCATCTGCCGCAGCTGCGCCACTTGCTCCCATGCCACCTCCACTCCGCCCCCTCCATTCTTGCCCCGCGCCCCCTCCTCCTTCTCCCCTTCCTCTCCACCTTCCTTGGCCCCTTCACCTGCATCGCCATGCTCCCCCATCACCTGCCACACCTCCTCCCGCAGCCGTTGCTGCCACTCAGGGAAGCGCGCCAGCAGGTACACGCCCCACGTCAGCAGCTTGGCTGTTGTCTCGTGGCCTGCCCGTGGGAGGGGTGGGAACAGCATGGGAGCATGGGAGAAAGGAGGCATGCCCCTCTGTGTCTCACTCATACCAACTGGTGTACCAGTCGCTCCAAAACCATCACCGCATATCACCCATCACCTTGCGTCACCACGCTCACTCACAGCACATAACCCCACATCCCACACACACAGCACCACCCATCAGCACCGATCACCACACATCAGCAAACACTACCGCATGTCTCCCTACGTTACCACAGCACCATCTCCACATGCATTCCACGAGCACTTACTGCCGGCACCGCTGGCAGCAGCAGCAGCAGCAGCACCGACAGCACCACCAACACACGAGCAAGAGCAGCAAGCACTACAAGACGGATTGCAGCAACAGCGCCACACATTCACCCACCTGCTGCAGGCCGGCAACCACACACCACCACTACATTCCCTCCCATGCTCCACCACCACTCATCACCGCAAGTCACCATTCATCACCACCGCCAACTACCACCCACCACCACCCACCACCGCACAGCACCGCACCATACCGGCCACGAGGAACGTGACACACTCGTCCACCAGCTGCTGGTCGGTCATCTGCTCGTTGCTGACGTCATCCCTCGCTGCCAGCATCACTGCCAGCAGGTCCTTCCCCGGCTCGCTCTGGTTGGAACAAGGGGAGCATGGGGAGAGGGAGTGCGGAGAGGGAGCAGGGGAAGGAAGAGGAGTTTAGGGTTGGGGTTGGGGATGGGAGAAAGAGCTTCACTGCCAGCAGCGTTCTCTGGCTCGCTCTGGTTGGATGGAGGAAGGTGTGGGGAAGCAGGGTTGTGGGGGAAGAAGGCAGGGGAGATAGGGGGTGTCGAAGATGGGGGGAATAGTGCCCATCACACGCCGTCATCACTGCCAGCAGGCCTTCCGTGGCTCGCCTGAGCTCGCATGGGCACATGGACGTTGGGCCATGGGGCATGGGGCATGGGGCATGGGGCATGGGGCATGGGGCATGGGGCGTGGGGCATGGGGCACGGGGCATGGGGCATGGGGCATGGGGCATGGGGCATGGGGCACGGGGCATGGGCCATGGGGCATGGGGCGTGGGGCATGGGGCGTAGGGCATGGGTCATGGGGCGTGGGGCATGGGGCGTAGGGCATGGGTCATGGGGCATGGGGCATGGGGCGTGGGGCATGGGGCGTGGCGCGTGGGGGGGATGGGAGATTAAGTGTTGCCGAGCAGATGCCAGCACCACGGCCAACAGGCCGTCACCCCGCTCGCCCTGGGAGAGGAAGGAGAGATGACAGGGCGGAAGGCAGAGAAACGGGAGAAGGGGGAAGGAAAGGGGAGAAAGGGGGAAAAGTGGTTGGGGCCTTGACCTGGGAAAGCCAGGGAACGGAATAGTGCATGCATGAGCCGACATGCATGCATAGTGCCAGCACCCTCTCACCTGCCTGCTGCACCACTCCGCTCCCCACCTAATCCTCCAACCTCCCCTTTCCCCTTCGAACAACCAACCACCCACCACCTGCTCCTGTCTGCGCCTGGCAATGAGCCCCAGAGACAGCCATAGCACGCTCAATGCTGCTACCTGCGCTGCGACCCTCTCTCCTCTCCTGTCCCCCCCACTTCCGCCCCATCAGCCCACACCCCAGCCCAAGTACGCACCTTCAGCTGCTGTCTGCGCGTGGCAATGAGGTCGAGAGACAGGCGCCTGACCTTCTCCGCTGCCCGCTGCAGCTCCTTGTTCTCCCGCGTGGGCAGCCAGCTGGGCGCATGGGGGGGAGGAGGCACGGGCATGGGCGCATGGGGGGAGGGGGCACGGGCATGGGCGCATGGGGGGAGGGGGCACGGGCATGGGCGCATGGGGGGAGGAGGCACGGGCATGGGCACATGGGGGGAGGGGGCACGGGCATGGGCACATGGGGGGAGGGGGCACGGGCATGGGCACATGGGGGGAGGAGGCACGGGCATGGGCACATGGGGGGAGGGGGCACGGGCATGGGCACATGGGGGGAGGAGGCACGGGCATGGGCACATGGGGGGAGGAGGCACGGGCATGGGCACATGGGGGGAGGAGGCACGGGCATGGGCACATGGGGGGAGGAGGCACGGGCATGGGCACATGGGGGGAGGGGGCACGTGCATGGGCACATGGGGGGAGGAGTCACGGGCATGGGCACATGGGGGGAGGAGGCACGGGCATGGGCACATGGGGGGAGGAGGCACGGGCATGGGCACATGGGGGGAGGGGGCACGTGCATGGGCACATGGGGGGAGGAGGCACGGGCATGGGCACATGGGGGGAGGAGGCACGGGCATGGGCACATGGGGGGAGGGGGCACGTGCATGGGCACATGGGGGGAGGAGGCACGGGCATGGGCACATGGGGGGAGGAGGCACGGGCATGGGCACATGGGGGGAGGGGGCACGTGCATGGGCACATGGGGGGAGGAGGCACGGGCATGGGCACATGGGGGGAGGAGGCACGGGCATGGGCACATGGGGGGAGGAGGCACGGGCATGGGCACATGGGGGGAGGGGGCACGGGCATGGGCACATGGGGGGAGGAGGCACGGGCATGGGCACATGGGGGGAGGGGGCACGGGCATGGGCACATGGGGGGAGGGGGCACGGGCAGAAAGAGAGCAAGAAAGACTGCCTGCTACAGAGGTTTATTGCCTCTGTAGAAAGCCAGCTGAGGTTATCTGGACACGGGCACATGGGCATGGGCACATGGGCATGGGCACATGGGCATGGGCACACGGGGATTGGCACACGGGGATGGGCACACGGGGATGGGCACACGGGGATGGGCACACGGGGATGGGCACACGGGGATGGGCACACGGGGATGGGCACACGGGGATGGGCACACGGGGATGGGAGGAGAAGGCAATGGCACAGACAGCAGCCCCCAATAGCACTTGAGGGGCGGAGAGGATGAGAGAAACAGAAGGGCGGAAAGAAGTACCCTGCTTTGAGGTCCCACTGGAGGCTCAAAATCAGTGAAGGCTCACGTAAGTGCACTGGGAGGTGACTGCACTGGGAGGTGACTGCACTGGGAAGTCACGTTTGTGCAACTCACGTGTAGAAGGGGATGAAGAGGCGGCCTGAAAACATCCTCTTGGTGCTTCCCGTGCTCAGGAGAGCCACCGCCTCATACACCTCCCTCACACTCCTCCCCTCCTCCTCTCCTCCATTCACACTCCTTTTCCCCTCCGTCTCCTTGGCATCACCTTCACCGCCACCCATGCCCGCCCCACTGCTGCTGACGGTGTTGCCAAAAGCAGCAAGGCCGATGATGTCGAGAGTGAGGGAGGTGAAAGCGGTATACATGTCAATCTCACACACGCCGCTGCCACTGTCGCTCCTGCTCCCGTTGCTGTCGCGGGCGTGGGTGACTGCGTGCACCCACTGCTGCACTGCCCTGCGTGCTTGGTCGTTCATTACCGTCACTGCGTGCTGTGGTGGGGTAGGGTGGTGGGATAAGAGGAGAAAGGAAAGGAATAGAGGAGAGAACGAGGATGGGGAAAGAGGAGAGGAAGCGGGGAGGAGAGGAAGCGGGGAGGAGAGGAATGGGGCTGTTAGTGTCGCTGCTGCTGTTGCTGGTATGAGCGATGGTGTGCACTGTGCTGTGCTGTGCACCTTGCGGGGATGTTACAGTCACTTGAATGTAAGCAGGGCTGATTATCCTGCATGGCACTTGCTGTGGATCAAGAGCATCACCTTGATGCGTGTGGGGCTCAATGCACGGTTAGTTGGCCAGGGCTGAATGCCAGCCAGGGCTGATTGCCACGGCTGATTGCCAGGGCTGATTGCCAGGGCTGATTGCCAGGGCTGATTGCCACGGCTGATTGCCAGGGCTGATTGCCACGGCTGATTGCCAGGGCTGAATGCCAGGGCTAAATGCCCCGTTGTCCCATGTTGTTCCACGTCCCCTGCCTGCCATGTTGTTCCATGCCCCATATTTCCATGCCTCATCCCTTCTACTTCCATGTCCCATCCCATGCTGTTGCCCCGTCGTATGTTCAATCATCCCCCATCGTCGCAGTCACCTTGATGGAGGCGGGGCTGAAGGCGGGGGTGATCATCTTGCGCTGCCGCGCCCAGAAGGCGCCCTCGGAGAACACCAGCCCGTTCGCCAGGAAGTCCACCGTGCGCCGCGAGTTCTGATCCTTCTGGAACGACTAGCTCTTTGACACCATGATCTGACAGCATATGGGTGCGTGCAGACGGGCGTTCAAGAGGGGAGAAGGGAGAGAAGGACAGACAGACGCTGACCGTGCGCCTCGAGTTCTGGTCCTTCCGGAACGACGCGTTTTTTATACCATGATCTGACAGACACAGGGGTGAGTGCAGACGGGCGTTCAAGGGGGGAGAAGGGAGAGAAGGACAGACAGACGCTGACCGTGCGCCTCGAGTTCTGGTCCTTCCGGAAGGAGGAATTCTTCGCCACCATGATCTGCGTGCCACCAGGGAGAGAGAGAGGGGAGAAGCCGAGAAGGAAGGTAGGGGCAACAAGAAAGCCACCGTGCGCCTTGCGCTCTGATCCTTCTGAGCACACGTTCCACATGCGAGTGGTTCGAGCGAGGGGGAGGGGAGAAGGAGAAAAGACAAAGAGGGAGGTGGAAGGGAGAAGCGGAAGGAGAGGGGTGACAAGGGGAGGAGAATCCTAGTGTTGCGGTTCGTACACAACATCCCGTCTGCGTGCATGGGGAGGGGGAATGGTGGGGTGGGATAGGAGGGGGGAGTGGGAACGGGAGAAGGGGGAGGAAGAGGCAGGAACCTGACCTCACGCCTGGCGTTCTTGTCTGTCTGTCTGGAAAACCCGCGTGGCGAATGAGGTGCCAACACACGTATGTCGTGTTTCCAGCATGTGCTCTCCCTCCCTCCGCGTCGCATCGCGGAAAAGGAAAATGCCTAAAAATGCTTTCCGAAGATGTCTGAAAGCCTTCCAAAAACTTTGAAGTCGCTTTGCAGTGACGTGTGCGATGGATGAATTCGTCTCTAGAGGCTTGCCGGACCTAGAGGCGCAGGCTCGGACGCAGGTATGGGCTTAGGCTCGCGGTTGGCGAAATCTGGAAGCTGCCCAGAGGCCTGCTAGGGGAAGGGACGGGAAGAGGAACGGATAGCGAAGGAAGGGGGAGGAAGAGGTGGGACGCAAAACGAAGATCGGTGCACGAAATGCTGCATTTCATAGAGGCCTGGGAGCCTCTCGCGTGAGAGCGGCGTGAGAGCGGCGTGAGAGACCTGAGAGCCTTTTGAGAAGCGCGTGCATTTAGAAACGCGTGAATGATGCGAATGCGCCACTCATTTCGAAGTGCCTGCGAAAACATGTGGATGGTGGAGCGAGGAAGATGGAAGCTCAGAGAATGGAAGGAAAGACGGTAGACCTCTCAGGTTGAATGCGAGTAGTACCTGAAATGGAAGCAAATTCCTTGCTTCGCGCATTGTCGACGAAACGCGTTCGAAGGGGTTCAGGTGAAGCGCTACGGCTGGTAATACCTGAAAGAAATCAGATGCCTTGCTTTGTGATGTCAGCCGCTTATTTAGGAGATTGAAGAATGCACCTGAATGGAAGAAACGGAATGCCTTGCTTCGTGAAATGCCGACGGAAGCGCAGCGGCTTGATTAAAATGACGTAGATAAGGTAGCACAGTAATGCGGCGACAGCAGCGAGAAACGCGGTAATAGCGTTTCTAAAAACCGCGTTACTACCAGCCGCTGTTGTACTAATAGCAGGGGTGCTGCCTTCGAACGACATTATGGAAGGAGCCGGAGGCAGCGGGTCGGAGGTCAACCGCCGTGCGACGCGCGGGAATGGGGAAAGCGACGATGCGAGAGTGGCGAGCGAGTCGACGATAGAGCGAGATGGCTGCGCTGAGACGTGCGCTCGAGCGAGAAGGATCCGCTAGAGGGTAGGGTACTACAGTCAGACCACAAATGCGTCCTTGTTCCAACGTGGAATTGATTGAAGATGACGTGTGTTCGGCGGATAGTGGTGTTCCTTGTACGAAAACGCTGCGAAATCGCAGAGCGGTGACGATGGGTGGATACAAGGCTGGCATTGCTTCGTAAGCTCGTCAAATCTCGCCCAGGCATTGAGGTTCAGGCAGCCCGAGTTAAAGCCCGCGGCCCAAATTGCGGGCCGCGCGGGTCAAGCTTTTAAAACTTGACGAACTAGTGTTTGCAAATTGCAAGGTTTTAAAAAAAGCGCGCCTGCAATTTGGGACTTTCGGGGACTGAACCAACTCCCAGGGCGAAATAACCGAAATCGATAACGTTCGCCAAACCCCAGACCAGAAAAACCCCCTCGCGTCAAGCTTTTAAAAGTTGTGCAATTTGGGCTGCCGGCGACGTAGATAAGATAGCACAGTAACGCGCGTCAAAGCTCGCCCAGCTCTTAAATCTCGCATCTTTGTTTCGCCAAATCTATCGCCAGAATCTTCCCCACGCTTTCTCGCAAAAACACGATGCCAAATTCTTCGCCCTATGGGTCTTCAACACAGCACAATTATTGGTGCTGTCATCAGACCCTTGGTTGTTCGACGATTTCATAACTTGCTCCTCTGTCCTCTAGTCATCCCTCCCTCCATCGCGCCATATTTATATGTACCGTATTCTATTTCCCACATCGTTTATCCACAATATTCCCTCTCCCAAGTCTGTCATAAGCGATATCTGAGCAATTCTTCGATCGCTCACTTCTCCATTGCGTCGTGCCAGGGTAACTAGTAACATACCTTTGATATTATATTGTCGAGCTTTCGCGACAGTGGTCGACATGGGAATGCTTCGTCTGCAAAATGCGTCACCGGATCGGCATAGGCTGCTGCTCTTGCTATTGATCCCCGCGGTGGTTTTCACACTGCAATTGCAGTTTAGATTTTCGGAGGCCGCGTGCGACAAGGTGCGGAACGTGCTGGTCGTTGGCGCGGGGATCTCAGGTGTCGCCGCGGCGCGACACATCGCCGTCACCAATGGCGAGTGCTTCAAGGTGCGTCGTACGCCAGCCGCCAAAATTTGCCCAAATCACTTCATTTCCGGAATTCTAGATAGTTGATTTCTAAGATTTCCGCCATTCAAGGCGCTGTTTCCGTAACAGACGGCCCGAAAGACGAGTGTTCCAAGGTGCGTCGTGGACCTCGCAGAGGAACGCTCCCACAAGCGTCGCGGGCACCGGTCCAATTCGAAGTCCCACGCTTCGTCCGCTTGGGGCCTCGTCTGCTAAACAACGTACGTCGCGAAATGCGCTGACAAGTCGCGCATAAAGTCGCCGCGAGGGCCGCAGCTACGGCGAGCAGCGCCTCAAAGGCGCGTCGCTCGTGATGCTTGTCATATTTCCGCTGCCAGGGCGCACGCGCACTTGTGAAGTCGGGAGCACTCATCCATGCGGATTAGTCGGTGCTATTGATGCTGTCCGACCGTGAGCAGTGTGCTTGAACCCCGCGCGCGCTCTCCCCTTCCCCCCTCTTCCCCCGCAAACCCACTGACCCCCTTCTCCCGCAGGTCACGGTGCTCGAGGCGCGCAACCGCGTGGGCGGGCGCATGTGGAGCCGCACGGAGCCCGCGCCTGCAGCGGGCGTCGGCAGCGGCGGCGTGATTCGCGGCGAGATGGGCGCGCAGTGGATCCAATCATCAACAGGCAACCCCATCACGGCCCTTGCGCGCCGATTCAAGCTCAATATCGGCGAGCAGAACGGCGAGGAGATCCAGTACCGCGCGGGCGGCAAGGCCTACACTGACTTTCAGCTAAAAGTCGCGTCGGCCAAGTACGACTGGGCGTTGAAGCGCGCCAAGCAGATCGCGAATAATCAGGACAACGACATCTCGATGGAGAAGGCGTTTCGAGCCGCGGGAAACTTTCTGAACCCGTACATCCAGGTATGACTTTCGATTGAGCACTTCCCAGGTATGTCTATTGACTCGATACCCGTACATCCAGGTATAAAGTTGATTTTGGAACAACTCTGAGTTATAGCTTTTTGGCAACCATTCGTGTTTGCTACCAGGATGTTTCTTTTCTCATGTAAACCCCTCGTAAAGCCCATGCTTAAGTACTATGAACAGCATTCAGCCAAAGGTCATTCTAAGTACTAAGCCTCCCGCCATTCTTTCAGGATTGTTGGTGTCCCGGGTAGCGCTGAACGCCGTGCCTGAGTCCTTGGACTGGCCTGTTCCCTCTCAAACGACTTTGCCTGGTACTACGCGGGCAGAGAAACGACACGCCTCTTTGCCAGTACCACCAAAACCATTCTCCATTATCTAGCAGCCCGATCCTGAACTCATCCCCCTTGCTTTCCCGAGCTGGCGGCAGTCGCGCGTGGCAGTGGACTTCGAGTTTGAGTACGCGGGCGACCTCTCCACTCTGTCCGCCTGGTACTATGAGGACGACGCCTTTCAGCCGCCGGATCTGGTGGTCACCAACGGCTACGATAACATCCCCAAGAAGCTCATGGAGGTGTGTGGCCGGTTGCTGGGTCGTGTGTGAGTGTGTGTGTGGGAGTGCGCATTTGAAGCGAGTGTGTTTGGAAGTGTGTGGGAGTGTGTTTGAAAGTGTGTGGGAGTATGTCTGGAAGTTTGTGTGAGGGTGTGTGTAAGTGCGTGTGGAAGTGTGTGTGAGTGTGTGGGAGTGTGTGTGGATGTGTGTGGGAGTGTGTTAAAAAGTGTTTGGGAATGTGCTTATAAGTGTGTGGGAGTGTGCTTATAAGTGTGTGGGAGTGTGCTTTTAAGTGTGTGGGAGTGTGTTTGGAAGTGTTTTTAAGTGTGTTTGAAAGTTTGTGAGAGTGGGTTTGAGAGTGTGTGAGAGTGTGTTTGGAAGTGTGTGTGAGTGTGTTTGGAATAGTGTGGGCGTGTGAATGGGTTTGACCGTCCTGATCTGGTAGCTCCAGTGGTTATGGCAGCATCCCCGTAATGTGCATCGAGGTTCGTGGGAGTGTGTCTTTGTGAGCTCATCCCTCACTCCCCCTCTCCCACTCCCCCTCTTCTTCATACCCCCACTTCCCTACTCTCTCTCTCTTGCTCCCTCTGTGCTCATTCCACCTCTTCTCAAACCTCCCTCTTCCTCACTCCCCTTCGTCACCACCTCTTACCCTACCCCCCAGTACCTTACTCCCCCTCTATCCCATAATCCCTGTCATGTCCATCTCTCCCTCTGTTTCTCCCTCCAGCTGAGCTCATCCCTCATTCCCATCCCAATTTTCCTCCCCTCCCCCGCCTCCCTCGTCAGGAGGCCACTGACGCCGGAGCACAGCTGGTGCTCAACTTTGAAGTCACTGCCATCATGCGCCTGACCTCGGGAGCAGTACAGATCACCGGCAAGGACACGAGCACAGGCGCCACCCGCTCGTACACAGGCGACGCTGCCATCATCACACTCCCTCTCGGGGTCCTCAAGGCCGGGGTTGTGACCTTCTCTCCCGCGCTCTCTGCGAGAAAGCAAGGCGCCATAAGGCGCGTTGGGTTCGGAGATGTCAACAAGGTGTTCTTCTTCTACAACTCCACGTTTTGGCCCACCTGGGCGGACGAGTATTATCGAGGATGCACAGCTTCCAGGAAATCGCGGGCGGTGGGTTGACTGGGTGAATTTGAAGCGTGCGTGGGGAATGACGGCTTTGGAGGGTGTTGCGGTTGGTTCGTATGCAACCCGGATGGCGAAAATGAGCGAGGCGGAGTGCATTAGGGATGCGGTTGACAAGATAAAAGTAATGTTCCCAAACTACAGGAATGCAAAGGCGCATGCAGTTTGGTTACAGCGGTGGAATTTGGACCCGTATGCACGAGGCGCGTACAGTTATGGAAGGCTGGGGATGAAAGGAAATGGCGATGTTACCACGGACTTTGACACGCTGGCAGAACCAGAGCAGACCTTTCTGTTTGCGGGGGAGCATACAAATGGACCTTATAGAGCCAGTGTCCATGGAGGGTATTTGTCTGGGATTCGGGAGGCTAAGAGAGTGCTTAGGTCTTACTAGTATGAATGGCTGTACCCATATTGTTACCGTATAAGCCAAAACAATGCAAGATTATCACAGGCTTTGAAGTTAGCAGACACCTGCTAAAAGATTCTTACTCAGTTACATGAACCTTGGGTACGCAAGTAGAAAGAGTAGTGTAGTGACAGAGGTTTAGAAAGGAAAGACCAAGTGAGGGGAAGGGAAAGGAAGGGAGTGGATGAGGGGGCTATGGTGGAAGGGATGGGATGGGACCAGGGCAAATTTTTGGATTTGACATACCCTTAAGATCAATGTACCCCTAGCTCAAAAAACTGATTATCAGTGTGACCCCCTATAGAAAAACTTTCCCATCAGGGTTTTCTTAACTTTCTAAAAATTTACCCTGTCGCATCAGTGTAAGGTTATTGTAAAGCCTGGTCAGTTTTTTTTAATGCTGCACGCAATACAGATCCTACTCATCATCAGACATGCCCCAAGGGTGTTCATCGTGGTCACTTTCCTCCTCTGGCTCTGGTGCCTTCTGCTTCCCCTTCCGAACCACAGGTTTCGCTGGCGCAACTGATTTCGCAGGCCTGCGCGTTTTCTGCTTGCGCCAGATGTCCACCACGTCTGGCCAGACGTAGGGGTACTTCAGCATGTGCAGCGTCATCAGGTCGCCAAGGCGTGCATCGCACAGCGATGTACGCATCCAGCTCTTGATGATATTCTGGCGACTGAACCCTCTCTCACACTCCACTGTGCTCAGTGGCAGCACAGCGAGGGCCTGCCAGAGTGTCATTAGGTTCAGATAGCTGCGTCGCCAATCCCGGCTCTTCAACATGCTGTGAAGACCCTGGTGAAAAATTTCTCCCGCGTGATGGCGTGGCATGATGTGACAAAAGCTGCTCAGCTCCTTCTTGGCGGCCTTGAAATCGAATCCTGACGGAGAAGGGGTTTGGGGCGGTGGAAGTAGTTAGCGGTGGTTGTCCGATGTTGGGTGACATGCATGAGACAATATGTATCAAAGGAAATGAAAAATCACAGCTCACCTGGTAGCATGCCGCCAAACAGCTCGTCGTTTGCGGCCAGCCACTCGAGGGTCTTCAATTCGCGCTGGTCATCTCTGCTCGTCCACGATTCAACTTGAAACAGCTTCGCGCCGCCCAACTGCTGCAAGTCCCACATACGGTACTTCATGCGTGCGACAATTTCCTTCGCGAACCCTGTGGAGAGCTTCTCGCAGTCAGCAAGCGTGCCCCCAAACTTGTGCTTCTTGATTGGGGTCTCGCTCAGCTCGAACTTGTGTGATGTCTGCCGCCCCTCCGAGTCAATGCCTTCAACAACCACCGTCCGGTTGTCACCACCGTGCTGCTTAATGAACTTGGACAGGTGCTTGGTGGCCCCGCCGCCAAAGGTGTCGCCGTACTGGATGTAACGGTGAGTGATGATGGTGATCGTGTGGTCGACTTCTTTGGCCACAAGTGTGATGTCCACCTGGAACACAACGGACACGTGAAACATGTTAGTCGAGGAAACTTTTAGTGTTACCACACTTGCAACCTGTAAAAATGGAACTTGCCTTGCGGTGCTGGAAGAAGCGGTTGAGAGAGTTGAGCACAGCAAGAATGTCTGCGAGGAAGTACAAACAGAAGTGAAATTTGAAGGTCTGTACTGTTGCAGCAATTTTGTGGCGGTACTCAACAATCATGACGATCGCCGCCCCAAGTACTCTGCATAGCCTCGCTATAGCATCTCCGCGTGATAGCCAACGGACGTTGAACAGTCCCTGGTGTTCAAGATTTGTCTTGTGTATCTCTTGTTGCAGCTCCTTGAATCTGTCGTACCAAATGTTGGAACGGCAGATAATCTCTCCCACGGCTCGCACAGCAGCGTCGATCATGTTCAGGTCGGGGAAAGCCTTCGCAGCATCCTTGACCATGAGGGCTTCCCTGCAACACGTCCAGGTGGTAGATTAGTAAAGCTTAACGAGAACGGTTTTACAGCATCGCATGCGATTAATGTCGAAAACGCTTAAGCGAAGCTCACCGATGCGCGACGCAGTGACATCCGACGAGATGCGGCACGTGCTCTTGCAAACGGCTGACCAGGCCGTTCTTCTCCCCCGTCATCACAGAAGCTCCATCGGTGCCGATGCCGGAAACCCGCTTGATGTCCACCCCAACAGACTCCAGGTGGCTTGTGAGCACAGTGAAAAGCGAGGAAGCGTCGCACTTGTGCACCGTCAGCAGCGCCAGAAATTCCGTGACGGACACGCCGTTTTTGAGGAAGGTGGCAAACACGATCAAATATTTGCCGCGAGCGCGATCGGTGCTCTCGTCGCAAGTAAGGCCGATGAATGGTGAAGCGAGAAGATGCTGCAGCTGCTGTGTTTTCTGGTACTTAGCCATCGCCGAGGCCATTTCGTTGAATCTGTACCTGCCACAAGCCGTGGTGAAAGGGCTTAGACACAGATGGAATGCGAAACCATTGGTTGTGGCCTGGTATTTTGGCACACGCTTACTGTGTGATGTACACGCCGTAGGACTGAAGCGGGATGTCCTCGACTCCCTCCTCCGCGAGGAAGCCTATGAGCTTCGGAAACATCGCGATCGGTGCGTCGTGGTCGCAGATAAACTCCACGCCGCGCATGAGACGGGTCAGCCGCGCCCCCTCCTTGTCGGTATTGGCGAAGTCGTCGATCCTCTTCTGGTGCTCGATCTTCGCCATGAGCGTCCGCTGCCGCTTCATCGCTTCCTCGTGGCGGCCGCTCAGCTCGTGGCATCGCATTGATCCGAGCTGCAGATCACGCCCCCCCGTTCCGTTCCGTCAGAATTTCGCATCGTCCTTTCCATGCTCCACGCAGATGCTGCATCGCAGAATGGGCAGCCCGTCGTCGTTCTTGTCCAGCAGCAGCCAGCCAAATTTCGGCAGCCACTGCGTGATGTATAGCTGCTGCGCCTTCAAAAAACTCTCTTCAGCCTTCTCGGCGTCGGTGAGTTCACGGGAGACACGCTTCGGAGCTTGGACTGGAGCGGGCGGCGGAGTCGGTTTCGCTGGTGGCGTGCCGAACGGTAGAACGGCCTGCGCGTAGCGACGCCTCTTCTTCGAGGCTGCAGACGATGACTCGCCCACCTCTGACACGCTGACAGTGGCGGGAGCACTGTCCGGCGCGACGGCATTGGAAGCAGGCGGGGGTGACAAACTCTGTTTCCCTTTGCTGCAAGAAGACGGGCCTGGAGTGACCACAGGCGGAGGGTTCACATGCATCGCGCGCAGGAAATCCAGGCCTGTTCGTGCGGGCGCATCCTTCGATGGCTCTTCAGCAGCTTCTCCGTCGCCGTCCTCTGCAGGAGCCATGGCTGCTAAAGGACAACAGGAGAACCGCCAACGTTGCTCTACTTGGCGTGAGTGCTGTGTTCTTGCGAGGTGAAACCTCGCACGTGTTCATGACCCCAGTCATTTCGCGCCTCTGTTTCCTAACGTGCACGCAAACAAGCAGCGGAGCCTGCCTCAGTCGTGCAAGGAACGCGGTGCCCAGTGGGCTAGTGGGCACCGAATTGTTGCTGCAGTCAGCCAAGTTTCCAGCCAACCCGGCCTTGTTGTCAAGTCTGACAAACAGACCAACTGGCGGAGGTGGCGGTGCCAGCAAATAAACTGTAACCCTGGCCAATAGTGGCCCTCTATGTGCCAGCACAGGAGTTGTCAAAGCCGAAATTCCGGCCTCAGTGGCCTTGGTGGAATCCCAGGTTACGGGAAAGGGGGGGTGGGTGAACCGGGGGGAGGGGGGGGGGTAGGTTACGCGTTACAGGGTAAAACTTGATACGGGATCCGTAAACCCTTGGCCATCAGTGTGCCTTACAAAAAAAACCTGACACATCAGGGTAAATCAACCTCCCCAAAAAAAAACCCTAGGCCATCAGTGTGACCATCAAAAACCACCCTGATTATCAGGGTATCAGGGTGATTTACACTGATAAAATTTGCCCTGGATGGGACGCACGGGGTGTTGAGGGAAGGGAGAGAAGGGATGGGGACTAGGGCTAATTTTATCAGTGTAAATCACCCTGATACCCTGATTATCAGGGTGGTTTTTGGTAGTCACACTGATGGCCTAGGGTAATTTTTTTTGGAGCTAGGATTTTCCTAATATGCCAAGGTTTACATTCAAGGCACACTGATGCCTCAGGGTTACCGATGTTCATAACGAGCTTTACCTTGACGCGAGAACCATAACCTTTGTGCCTGTGCAGCACGGTCTAGAGGACATGCGCCCTCAGCAGCAGCAGATGGCTGGATGCACCTCCTCTCTTGCCTCACCCCATTCCCTTCACATTTCAATCCTTCTGTTTCTTCCCATTCTCAGGTACAGCACAGCCTGGTGGACATGCGTGCAGCCGCAGCAGCAGATGGCTTGAGGCGCCTCTTCCCTCCCTTCCCCCACCCACCTGAACCTAATCCCCTCTTCCCTGAAACCCTCATCCTCCCTGTACAGCACAGCCTGGTGGACGTGTGGCCGCAGCAGCACATAAGGTGATCACCCCATCTCCACCTAAGCCAACCCCCATTGCCCTAATCCTATTCCCCCCTGTGATTCTCACTGCAGGTACAGCACAGCCTGGTGGACGTGAGCTTTACCTTGACGAAGTGGGCCACCATCAACACTGACTCAATTCGGTCTGTTTGTCTGACATGATAATACTAATTCACCAGGGTTTGAAAAACTGGTACACTGATGCCACAGGGTTGGATTTTCAAAAACACGAAAAACATTGATGGATCAGGGTTTGAACCAGGCCCTCAGATTGCAGGAATTTTACCTTGATTTGGGCTTTGAAAACTGATTTTCATGGTGTTTTTTGGACCCAGCGCTGATGAGAAAGTTTTTTTTTTCATGCCTATCATGATTTTCCAGCGTGTTTTTTGTACTAGGCCTGATTTTCCAGTGTCTTTTTGCTTGGGGACCCTGAATTGAATCTTACAGTAGAGGGTACAGGTGTAGTTGCGAAAATGCCTAGATGCAGTTTATCCGGGAATTTTTTTTTCCTGCCAATCCGCCGTCACCGTCAATCACGGGAAATGGCATCTTTACTGTATCCACACACGTACCTGACTTGATGTGTTGTCGCCATCATCTGTCAAGCTGGCAAGTGATTGGGCAGTTTCAGGTAATCACACACCGTGCCCAATCACATGGCCAGGGCTGGCAAGATTCCACTGCGTCACTGTCGTAACCCGTGACGTCGTGGAATCGTGCAGGGCACGTACATCCCATTTCGTGGATGGCCCATAGGGGACCATCCACGCCTGCATGGTGGCTTTTGTTTGAGGCTGTCAACCAATCACCAACGAGGTGTGGTGACCCTCCCTTCCCCATCCCTTTCACCCCATTCTTGAGCGCCGTGTGAGATTAGGTGAGCTTCGTTCTGGCTGTTTCTCGGCTGACTATCCACTCCACCCTCCTTCTCTCGTCCATACTTCCGCCATGGCTGGACCCGTTGATGGTGCGTCTGTCGACGACGATGCTGACGACATAGAGATCGAGATAGCACGCACGGGTCTAGACCTGCTACTGTGTTCGCTCTCTAAAGCAACCATCCCACCTTGTAGCAAGAATCCGCCCGTTACTTCAGTTACGGCTATTCCCACCGTAACTTCCGCCCCACCAGACTCAATTGTCGCCCCAGTTATTAGCACCGCAACGTCATCCGATGTCACCGACACTGTACCCACTATGGTACATGTCGAGCCGTCAACACCAGCAGCACCGTCCCCGGCTTCTCCTATGGATACATCTCCGGCTCTTCCACCAGGTTTTGATATGGTGTCCCCGTCATCTCTGCCCGTTCTACCTGCATCGCAACCAGCTGCTCCCGAAGCGGCGTCCCCTGCAGGTCGGCCCGTTCCACCTGCAACGCAACCAGCTGCTCACAAAGCGGCATCCCCTGCCGGTCGGCCCGTTCCACCTGGATCTCACCCTCACGCAACTGCATCAGCGTCCCCGGCTGCTCGGCTTGTCCAGACAAAGTTGAACTTCCTTCGACCTTCATCAGCGCCACCTGCAGCACCCACCAACGTGCCCACTCCGCCCGTACTCGAAGCTGCAGCCTCGAACCAGCCGTCAGCTACTGCCGAGGAGCTGTATGCCATTGCTCTTGATAGGTCAATTTGCAAGGTCAATTTTCCTGGTTGCAGCTTGTTAAAACTTCAACTGGTCACCTTGCCTTCAAGTGTTCTCTGTGTACAGAACATGCAGGACTGTCTGACAAGACCGGCAAGTGCACCGAAGGGGCAGTCGACGTTCAAAAGCAGGCATTCATGCGAAACGCTGCCACCAACAAGCACAAGCTCGCAAAACATCGGCAGGATCAGTTCGTTGGCGCGACGAGGCAGGCGCGGATTGAGGAGCATCCACTCGCGCACGACAGCGAGAAGGTCCGAGTGGTGAATCTGATGGATGCCCTACTCTTTGTCAGCAGGCAAGATGCACCAATGGATCTGTGGGTGGGATTGGTCCGTTACCTTGCTGAGAAGGGAGTCCCCAGATTCCCAAAGAAGGGATACGGGACGTACTACACCACGTAAGTCCTTTTCCTAATGTTGATTGCACTGCATTATCTTGTGATGGCACGGGCTAACCTACATGTTCTTGTTTGCGTGTGAGGTATGGATTCGAGGAGCTGACTCAGTCTATGGCAACGTGGCTGCAGACAACACAGCTCGAGGAGATCCTGGCAAGTCCCTACATCGGCATCTCATGCAATGAGAGCACCGATCGCTGCAGAGGCAAACACCTCATCTTGTTCGTCACGTTCATTCGCAACTCACGCCTCGCCTGCGAGTTCATGGCTCTGCTGACGGTCGACAAGGCGGATGCGGCTTCGCTGTTGCAGTTGTTGCTATCCCACCTGCAGGCGTGTGGTGTTGACCTGAGACGCATCGTGGGCATCAGCACGGACGGGGCGTCCATGATTATGGGAGCACGGTCAGGCTTGGTTGCAAGGCTTCGGTATGATTTGTCTGATTTGTTCCTTGATATTGTTCTAATACACTGTCCCTATGAGTTTTGCCGCAGTGAAGCCCTTGTCAGAATCCCAACCACTAGACCATTGGGATAAAAGGGCTTGTTAAGTAGCGGGTCAATGCGCCCATAACCCCCCAGGACAACGAGCCTGTAACCCTTCCCTAGGATCAATCAGGGATCACCAGTGGACCTCTGACACCCCCCCGCACTGGGATGCCCGAAGTGCACACACTGGGATTCGAACCCGAGACCTTCGCTCTGATACCATGTCAGAATCCCAACCACTAGACCATTGGGATAAAAGGGCTTGTTAAGTAGCGGGTCAGTGCGCCCATAACCCCCCAGGACAACGAGCCTGTAACCCTTCCCTAGGATCAATCGGGGATCACCAGTGGACCTCTGACAGCCCTTGCCGCTAAGGATGCTGCCGAGAGCTTACCTGTCTTCAACATGGTCGACAACACCATCCGTGCCATCGCCGAGCATCTGGGCCGTTCGGGTCCATGGCGTCAGCGCTTCAAGGACCTCCAAGAGGTTTTTACCGAGACTTTTCTGGAGCTACAATGAATTCACAGTGTACGGTGGCTATCACGTGGTGATGCCATCGCTAGGTTTGTGGCGGTCCTGCCGGCAGTCAACACGATGCTGAAGGAGTGGAATGACAAGCTGTACAAAGTGGTGACGTCGTTCCGGTTCCACTTTCTCCTGTTCTTCCTTGCCGACGTGCTTGACCAGATGAACGTCCTGAGTAGGATGTTCCAGCGCG